AATCAGCCTTCCAAAAAAGAACAGAGCAACAAAATGTAATGACCATCGGACTATCAGCCTGATGAGCCATGTTTTAAAACTATTCTTGCACATAATACATATAATACAAGAATTGGTGAAACCCAGATGGGCTTTCGTAAAGGTTTGGGAACGAGAGAAGCCCTGTTTGGTGTGCAAGTGCTGATTCAGAGATGTCGTCACGTGAATTATGATGTATATATATGTAGTATTGATTTTGAAAAGGCTTTTGACAAAGTACAACACGATAAACTGCTTCAACTTCTTAAAAGGGCTGGGTTAGATACCAGAGATGTCCGAATTATTCAAAATTTGTATTGGAATCAAAAAGCAGTAGTAAGAATTGGACCGCATCTCAGCGATGATATGAAGATCAAGAGGGGGTGCGCCAGGGATGCATTCTGTCGCCTTTATTGTTCAACCTGTATTCTGAAGAAATTTTTGACGAGATTGATCAGGTTACTAACTCGTGTGCTCAGTACGGACTTAAACTAAATGTTAATGAAACTAAATATATGATCATTAGTAAACATGTCTCACATCAGGATGATGGCATATATGTGGAAGGTGCACCTCTGGAACGAGTTGGGAGGTTGACGTACTTGGGCAGTAACATCAACGATAAATGGGGCCCATCTAATGAAATTAAAATTAGAATAGAAAAAGCAAGAGCAGCATTTGTAAAAATGAAAAAAGTTCTCTGTAACCATAATCTAATATTGAAACTGCGAATGAAAATGGTTAAATGTTACGTACTTCCGGTTCTCCTATATGGGATGTAGTCATGGACACTCACTGACGCAACCATCAAGCGTCTAGAGGCGTTCGAAATGTGGATGTACCGTCGTCTACTCAGGATCAGCTGAGTGGATAGAGTGAGTAACGCAGTAGTACTAGAGCGAATTAACAAACATCCGGAGATAATTTTAACCATCAAGCAGCGTAAGCTAGAATACTTTGGACATATTATGCGTCACCCTGAGAAGTATTCCATACTGCACCTCATAATGGAGGGAAAAGTGATTAGCAAGAGAGGCCCTGGAAGGAGAAAAATCTAAGACAATTGTATGGAAAATCCTCGATCGAACTGTTTCGTGCAGCTGTTAATTAAACAATGATCGTCAAAAATAGCAAGTATTGCAAAATTTAATGTCGTTCGTTACATTGTTTGAGAATGTGCTAAGCTAGCGAAGTGGACCTATTTAGATAGGCATAGGTATACTGAAACACTATTTCAATTACAATTTTTTTTTTCATACAAATTTTGAAATAATCTACACAATATATATAATCCCCACCATCGCAATACAGTTGCAGACGAGATGTCTGATTAATCGAAAGGGTGAAGCTTGAACTCTTCTGGCTAGCGGGAACACTGCTGTGGCTTCGGTACTAACCATGGATTGCAAACTATTCACGCTAACCGCCAAGGGCCTGGGTGATCGCCGCTAATAAAGGAGTTGACCCATTCGGTGACTCACTCAACCTGGGTGTGATGTGTATTTTGAACCATCACAACCTCCTTGAGTGAGCGACCGAGGGGATAAACGCAACCGGATTTAGGTACATTACGTCTACCAAAAAGGAGTTGTATTATCGTTGTTACCATTTTAATAACATTCCAAAAATAATGCAAGTATGTAACTATTTTGCTGGGGAGATTTTTTTAGGAGGGTGGATAGACACTAATTAACGACACCGTAGACATTGAATGGCTACTAACTTAACCTAAATAGAAATAAGATTCATTTCTATAATTTCATTTTCCTAGATGCCTAAAAGAGGATTATGGTTAATTGCTGTCCATCTGGATTGATTACAGCTTTCATTTATGTCTCTTCCCAGATTGAAATGAGCCAGATTTTCTTCTCAAATATAGAGGATTAATTATACACTTAACATCTTCTTTTTCTTGTGGTGCCTATCCGTTACGAATGTTGGCGATCATCATGGCAATGCGTACTTTGTCAACTGCTGCACGAAAAAGGCCTACTGTTGTTTTATTGAACCATGTACGCAAGTTCTTCAACCACGATATCCTTCGTCTACCAGGCCTCCTCCTGCCTTCCACCTTGCCATGCAGAATCAGCTATAACAAGTCATACCGGTCGCTGTTCCTCATTATGTGTCCCAGATATTCAAGCTTGCATGTTTTTATTAAGAGAAGCAGCTCCTTGTCTTTACTCATTCTTTCTAGGACCCTAAGATTGGTTATATGGTCGATCCATGGGATTCTTGAAATACGTCTATACAACCAGATCTCAAATGACTCGATTCTTGTACGAGCAGCCTCAGTTAAAGTCCAGGATTCCACCCCGTAGAGTAGCACTAGAAAGACGTAACCCTCAATAGTATGATCAGTGATAGATCACGGCATTTAAATAGTTTTGCTATTTTCAGAAATGCGGCTCTGGCCTTCTCTATTCTGCATTTGATCTCCAGAGAGTGATTCCACGTTTCACTTATCTTGGTTCCGAGATAAACACAAGTCTTGACACAACACTTGACATGCCAAAGTTAATCTCCCCCATATCTGTTATGGTAAATGGTATAGACGTTATTAGGTCTTCACTAATAAAGATTTTCGACATTTCTCAATAGAACATTAACACCTTGTAATAAATGGCTGTTTTTTAATTAAGGATGTTTATTTTTTTAATTAAATATCGCTTCCTGGCGGTTCTGGACAATTCCTAAAATTTTTGTATTTAAAATGCGAAATTTGATGTAACGTGTCACAATCGGTGGTATATACTGGCTTAACCAAGAAATTGGTGTCTAACTCTAACTCACAGGATATTGTAATAGTAATTACATATTTTCTGGATTCCTCCTGGAGCGGCTGTTGATCAATCGAACTTCCTGACATTTCTCCAATCATCCATTCTTCAGAGTTTAACTGAGAGAGTTCCAGTTAAGCTCTATTAGATTCATCAACAACAACCGATGCAGGAGGAATGGAGAAGAATTGTAAATAATGTCGTTCGGTAGTTGTTAATATTTTATATTATAATAGTTGTTGGTAAATCGGTTGATTGGTTTGCAGGTATACCATAGCAAACACCGAGGTTCATACGAGCTTTATCTGTATTGTAAATTATTTTGTATGGTTATAAATGGTTAGAAATTTCATAAGTCTGCTTCTTTACAACGACTTGCGTCGACTTTCCTTAAACGTAGAACTCGGTGCATATCTCAATGAACCCTCGTTTAACATATTTGACATGTAAATATTCTACACGGTCCGCAAGCGTACAAATATTAAAGGAGTTAATATGTAGGTACGTATTTCACACAAAGTATTTCTCTTTATGATCTCGAAACGTTCGCATATAAATTACACCGCACACTTTAACTCAAAGAACCCGAAAAAAGACAAAAAAAAACCATCGACATAATTCCCTTTTCTTTCTCGTTTTATTACTCTCCCGAGTTGAAAACTTAATTAAAGGAAGTGCTCGGTTTCGCCGGCAGGGCGCGCTGTTTATATACTTTGCAGTTGCCCGTGAGTATCGTATTGCGATTGCGGTAAAGGATGAAATAAATTCTAATTGGTTCGGATGGGAGGTAACGAATCGATCACGTTGGCCTATCTACAAGTTTATAATCTCGAAATTAAGGCGATTATTCATTATCTACTGGCAAGAACAAGACCAAGTGACTTTTCTAGAATTGTCAACGCTGCTAAAGCTGCGATTCATAATAACAAACGCTACATATACCACCACAATGGCAAATAATAAACAGGACCCAAAACAAAATTGTTTCGATTTATCAAATTTGTCAAATTCTTGACTGGAACCTTCGGCACTGTGGTAACACACAATAACGCGTTTTACCACAAACCGAAACTCAATTTTACGTATTCGACGCGCGTTTCGCCAACCAAGTTGGCATCTTCAGGAGAAGATTAAAACTTCTCCTGAAGATGCCAACTTGGTTGGCGAAACGCGCGTCGAATACCTAAAATTGAGTTTCGGTTTGTGGTAAAATACGTTATTGTGTGTTATCAAATTTGATTTACGAGTATGTATGATTGAATTCATACCTCTGAACTTTTTTATTGCCAACATTGTTTAGAAAATGCCTGTAATCGATGTGAACAATATTCATAACAATTTTGTAAAAATAGTATTATAGTATATGTTGTTATTTATCTTTTACACGTCGTTTGTACAAATTTTTTTATTGAAGATTACTAGTCCATATTTCCTATTTTTAATGTCACCATTAAAATTGCTTTTAATATTACTCAAATTACTATATTTGTACTTAATATTGTGCCTACTTCACCTTTGGTTTACTAACTATAGGTTCTGGAGAAAACTACGTAATATCTGAACCAATAAATAATGAACTACTATATAAAAGAAACAAACAATAAGCAAAATAAACGTTAAAAAGATCTATACTTAAAAGCTGCCCTCAACAAGTACAAGGAAATATATCCTATATCATTATAAATTACTAGTTCCTGCTTTTAACGTTATTACGCTAGTATGTCATTGTACTATATAAATCCCGCTTTCCCTACTTTACCTTTTTACCCCTTTTTACCTGCGTCACAGGTTTTATACAGGATTGTGAGTTATTATTTCAAAATATATGGAAAAAAATCTTGTATGAGGCTTTTAAAAACACACATATCAGTAATTTAAATCGGAATATACGGTTTTAGCCATAAGTTGTATATGTTGCAGTCAAAGTGTACAGTCCAGTCAATGTATACATTTACTAGCCAATGCATACATTCACTTCCCATTTTATTGGAATGAACACTTTAACTAGTAACTGCATGCATTAACTAGGTAATGCATGCAGTTACTAACCAACTGCAGTCAAAGCGTTCATTGATGAATTTAAAAATAAAATTTAGTTTAGCGAATAATTAAATTAATTATTGACTCGAGGATTATTGCACTAGAGCTAGAAACTAACTAACTAACTAACATGGAAAGAAAATAATTTGAAACACAAACACATTTATAAATAAGAAAAACACTTTATTTGTTTGAACAATTCAAACTTCCATGGCATTTGGAATTGCACAATTTTTTTGATTTAAGGCGTGCACATCTATTTGTGGTGTAGTATTGGTGTAGATGGTGCCCCAAATAGTAAAAAAATTCGAAGTTGATCAGCAACTTCATTATCATCTTTCATCAAACTTTGTTAAGTGCACCTGGTATGCCAATATAAATTTAAATTTATCATCTGGCTGTGATTGGAAGTCAATTAAATCTACTTGACATCTTGAATTAAAACGAGAAAACACCATTGGCTTAACCACCAAGCCTTTCTTTTCATTCGCCCTTTTTTTAAGGCACCCTTCACAATTATTTAAAAATGTTTGAATATCTTGTGCTGTTATATTTTTAAAGCGAAGGTTAAGTTCCTTTTTCATTCTATCTCGTCCACCTTGTCCAATTGATAAATGAGTTTCATATAAAACTTCAAACAATTCTTCAACAGTAACATAATATAGCACTTTTTCATTTGCTATTGGTGCAATTAGTTTATCCACATTACATACATACACTATATCATAATGTTTTAGTAACCAGAAGTGACCATTTTCTTTTTTCTGAGCAGATTTAGCGGATTTAACATCATTTATTAGTTTTGTATATCTTTCCGCAGTCATACGAAAGCCTTTAACTTTTTGTGGAGTATTGTTAATATATTCGTAGAATTTAACTTTCATCGCTTCTTTATCCATTTTATATTTATGACTAAAAACATAATTAATAATTATTAATTACTCTGGACACATACAATTTAAACAATTCACTTACCAAGAATCTCAAACGGAAAAACAACAAACAGCAAACGGTGCAGCACGAATAAAGAGGTTAGGTTTTAGGTTTCCCGGTAAATTTAACCCACTTCCCACTTTGACTAGAAGCAGTCCGTGAATGCATACATCCACTAGCAAATATGTTCACTTCGTTTAAAATGAATACTTTAACTGCAGAGTTTAGCAAATGTATGCATTGGCTAGTAAATATATACATTTACTAAATGAATGCTTTGACTGCAACATATATAATTAGAGTTTATTTTTTCAACTTAGCACGCTAGCATCATTGCTAATTTTGGTTGTAGATTGTTGAAATAATTTTTATGCAACATAATTTTTGCTGACCTCTGCGAGAGATAATCGATGGTCTGTAGACGGTACCGGTAATTGTGCCTTAATCATTACTGCAAATTTAATAATCGTCTTCGGTCATCAAGTCATCGAAAGAGTGGGGGTAATGGAGGAACGCAACCGCGCCGGCAATAAAGTCTATGTTCGGGGCCCCAATATATCGGCTATGAAGGCGCGTAGTCGTGAATTCGATTATGTAAGCGACACACGGACCCTTAGTTAATTTAAGTTTGACTTTAAACAAATTAAACGTCAATTGGGTTCGTCGGCATCTGCGGGCGCTGACTGCCTGCCTCACCATCTTAGTGTTCGAAGTTATATGAGTCCCCCCCTCTCCCTCCGACTCTCACTGGCCACAGCATAATTCAGAGAAGACTCTTGAGGCATGTTGGGTCGAACTTTCTCTATCGACGAATGTTGATTAAACGAAATATACATTATTCCATAACGGGGACCCGGCGCGTAATAATTACAATCGCTAGTTCGGCAACACCGCTTTCCTCACGAAAAATGCTGGAATGTTAAAATGTGACATCGCTACAGCTACTTGTAACGCGATTTCTTCGACGCTTTCTATGAGCTTTTGAACAGCACAAATCTGCAACGCTTGACACTGGGGGTCGATCATAACCTTCTTAAATCGGATAAAAATATCTCTCACTTGTGCGATAATGTTGGTAAAATATAAATTTACATTATTCTCGCAGTATGGAACCAATTTTACGCTTCCTTGTTTTTCTAAGTTGTAAAGAAATCGTTTGGTTTTTTTATTTGAATTGAATTATGATTGATACTCCTATTCATATTTATAATTCACACACAAGCACAAAAGTTATGAAGCTTTCCGTCATAAACTTAAAAAAAATAGTATACAACAAGTTTTACTTTAAAAATGATGCCCGACGATCAGAAGCCATCTTTCTCTGGTACCTTCCGGCCTAACGGCTTTTATTCGGACTGCCAGCATGCTGTGTAACTGATTTCCGGGTCCTCTTTTGATCGTTCTATGTTCCAGTCATAACAGTATACTATTATAAAAGACAGCAAATTTCATCCATTAATCATTCCAAAACCAGTGTGACATCAGTTAAATTGTAGTTAAATTACGTTTTTTGCCTTTTAAGAATTTTGACAAATAATTTTTATGATTAATACGTCATTTAAAATCCGTTCTCAATTTATCTCAAAAACTGAAATTTTGCATTTATATTAAACATAATACAGTAATATATACAGTGAACGTCTAAAATATGGACAAATTGATTTAATTTTTTTTTTTTTAATGGAGCATATCATTTAATCATATCATATCCATTTTAGAATTCGGCGTTAAATTTCGTATCTAATTCATAACTAATTTTAAATCATCTAAAGTTTATCCTTTTTTCTTATACCCTTTTAATTTTAGACATCCCCAGAGGAAAAAATCCAGTGAAGTAATATCTGGAGATCTTGCAAGCCATTTTATTGATTGACACCAATCAATCGTCTTGGTATCGACTTCCACTTTTTAACCCACCCACTGTATATTTGTGTGCTAATGTAGCGTATAATACATAATATGGATATAGCATGTTATTAAAAAAAAACCTTGTGAGATCATGCTTCTAATTGAATTGATTAAGTGGGAAATGCAAACACAACTGCCTATGCGTCAAAATAGTAACCCTTATTAAACTTTTCTCTTATTTATTTCTCGGTGTTTTGTGTATCTCAACGGTTAATTTATGTTTGAAACAAACATTTTTACTTTGTTTTTTTTTTCAGCTTACGAACCCAGAAGCTGCAAAATCTCGACCCCTACGAAGTACGTTACGTTATCTCGAAAGCCTTAGAGGTGTGGTCTAAACATTCGAGATTGACGTTCACCGAAGTCGATAGCGACAAAGCGGATATCCTTATTTATTTTTACAGGTAAACAATTTTTTTAAGCTTGGCATCTGCGTATGTTGATTTTCTTATTTGCTGATACAGAATACGTAAATATGGCAGCTGTTAACAAAATTTTAACATAAAAGCCTAAACGAATAGAAAACAATGAACAGCATGAAATGAATGAAAGCAAATGAACAATAATAAAATGCGGTGTTCAGACATTCCCATTTTTATTGGCCGGTTAACCCATATCATTTTTTGCTCTGAAATTATTTATTTTGTTGCACTTAAGAACACATTACATGTGTCAAAAAATAAAAATAAAAACTCTAAACATACAAAAAAATACAATAAATAATGTTTTGGAGCACATTAGATGTAACATATAATTTATACATAAATATACAAAAGAAAGTTCAAATTCGACAGAAAACAACTAAAAGTAGATTGTTTTCCAAATAGAACCTGATTTGATACAAAAGAATGCATAATATTTTATGATGCCTGAGTGCACCACTGGCAACAACCGGTTTCATTTTTGGTGATATTTTACAAAGCATGAAGTATGTAAATGCACACTACACTTATTACAAACGTAAATTGTGTCGCTGTGGCAGATTCTACATCTCCTTCGGGCTTTATTATTATTCATCTATGGCGGGTGCAATATTTCTTTGAGTAATTGTTTTATCAGTTTTTAAAACTCGCAAAGCAATGTAAAATTTAAAATCAAATCACTTCGTCATTGAAAAATATTTCAAGCAGAGTTTTTCCAGAAAGGCTATTTTTTAGTTCCTCACATGATCTAAATTCATCGGATATAGGTGTAGACAGTGGAAGCAAGCCTGTCATTTGCAGAAAGCATGCGTCTTCTTTTGAATCCCAGGGTTTTATCATCCCATTCAGGTTCAGTAGTTGATGAATCACAGGACTGTTGAAGGACAGCTGTATCATTCGGTGTATGTAACTTGAAAGTTCCAACTATCCCAGTTGATTTATGTTATCGTTCTGTAAATATTTTTCAACGTTATTTTTACCATATATTTGCAAGGAATGGAATGCTACAATACATAATAATACGTAAATCCAAATAATACTTTCGACTTTCATTGTTATTGTGCTCATCTATCACTCCGCCGCCAATTCCTTTTGAGTCAAATACCTCGGAAAATGCCATATTTTACGAATTGTAACGTTCACCGCACAGGGCACAAACTAATACTAAAAAACACGCTAATTGTTGGTGATTATTGATCACAAATTAAAAGTTCTTAAGAAATATAATGTTAAAACCAGATCAATCAAAGACAAAGTCTACATTGAAAAACAAGACAAAAAATATCAATAGAAATATGAAATGGCCTTAAGACGACAAATAAATTCATCAACAATGACATTGGTAAGGACCTTGGTGTCAGTTTATTTTATCTATGCGGACGACTTAATTTTTTTTAAATCCGGTTTTCAGAGGATTGTCTTACTCTCCAGCCTAGTTTAGAGCAAATGAACAATTTGGCCCTAAATGATAACTTTCAACTTAATACAGCCAAGTGTAATGCAGTCTCTTTTTCCACCACAAATCTATCGGTGAAATGTGTGAAATATGACTACCAACTTTTTGATGAAACTGTCTCCCGTTCTAACATTTTTTCTGGATTAGGAGTAATATTCGACTCTAAATTATCCTTTGTTCCTCATGTTAATAAGGTACTGGTAGAAGCCTCAAAAGCTATGGTACGTTGCACCAGAGACTTTAGTCATATTAATAGCGTAAGTTTTTGAAGTATGTATGCTATACGTTGGACGGAGTATATCCCCACGAGGCTTTTCGCATACAATATTATTAAATAGATTTGGTTATGTGTCCCTTAATGATCGCCCCTATTACCATTATTTTTGATGGCTCTGACCCATTACATAGAATAAATTTTCTGGTTCCCGTATTAACACATTGTTTCTGCCCACACCAAGAACTAATATTTTAAAATTTTCACCTATTTTCTCGACTTTTTTCGCAATCTATTACTAAGTTAAAAACTTTATTGGCCCATTAACTGTAATTTTTAATTTATGTATATTCCCATTCTCTTGTTTTTTTATTAGAGTTAATGCGTATGTTAGCCTAGACTTTAGGTTAAGTTTCGTCAAATCATCATTACTTACAATGCATCTGTAACTATTTAATACTTTATACTACAATCTACCTGACTTCTTTAAATAAATAAATAAATAATAGTATAATGACGTATGGAAGTCACAGAAATGAATTTTTGGAGACGTGCCGCGGCTCAAGGTCAAGAATCGAGAGAATAAAAAAACAAAAAGGACCAGAAAATCATGGAAGTAAAACAGACGAAAGTGGTAGGGGCACGGTATAGAGGATTAGCCAAACAAGTTATAAGCTAGACGCCGCAGGGTAAAAAAAAATAGAAGAAGACTCAGAAAGAGCTGGAAGGGAGGGGGATAGACACTTAAATTCGATTAGTGGCAGGTCGGATGACGTCGGAGAACATTTTAACCCCGATTGTATATATATGAAAACTTTAATATTGTTGCATTATAATCTCGCAGGCCAATGATTTATTTCCCCTCCCGAAAATCAGTTTCTCCCACCTTACGTGATTACCATTCATTTTTATGCAACACTCCTCCCCCCCATTTGTCCCTTGCTTAAATGCATCGCATCAATTTCATGGCTTAGTTCGACGTCTGGAGTGGGACTCTGTAATTCGTTTTATGTGAAGACGGAGAGATTATTTCGGTATTGCAGCATTTTTAAACTCTGTATGCGCTTTCGGATACATTCGATGGAGCCGAACGTATCTCCGAACTTCAAGGCGAAAGCTCTTTTAATTTCAGCATTTCCTTGTTCACTTTGGCGAAAACAGATCCAATTCCTATTACTATTTTCCATGTGTGGGAGCAATTCGTTAAATAAATTCAAAAGTAGCTCCTTATTTAGTCGAAACAATTCAATGAATCTATTCTCCCTTGCAGATTAATTCGTTCACTTCTATCTCTCGTTACTTTTTGCAATTTTTAGATTTGAGATCCGTCGTCAGTTCTCCTGCTTACGCAGTAAATGTCTCAAAACAGGATACATCTGTAATTTAAGTTGGGGATTATGAACACAAATTTTTAAAATCTTTATCTCCTATGAGGTTTCAGGAGAGAATACGAACTGAACAAATACCTACATGGAATGCGGTTATTCTATTCTATATTTTATGCTAATTTTAATTAAATTAATTTAAATTAAATGTTCGAAAACGAAGTAACAAACATCAGTCATCCAAAATAAAAAAATAACAAACGCTTTATGGTTCCTTCTCTTGGTAATATGATACTAGTTACAGAGTCTCAGTCCTGTGACTCCAAAGCATAACTTTTCCCCTAAAATGACAAGTTTTCTGGCAAATTTTTTTGAAAACCACCCTCCCCCAAACCCCCCTCCGAGCACAACTTCCGCGATGTCGGATAAATCCATAATGAAAACGCACTTCAAACAAGTCGACGTCGCGCCACACGTCGCCCAAACAGACACGGCAACGATTGGATTTGAACAAGACCACCGGTGGATAATTCCAAATTCGAATAAAGATGGAAATTTCATCAGTCCCGGCAGCAGCCTGCGTCGTTTCATTTCGCTCCCCCTCGCCAGGATCGTCCGAGTGAACAGACATTGTATTATTGTATTAATATCGGTATTCAAATATCGCAAAGTCGCTGCGAATGACACGCGCCTGAAATATAAACCTGTGTGTCTCTATTTTTACGATTTCGGCGGTCGTAAAGTCCGCATCGCAGAGCTGCGTTTTAATTATTACGTTCGGCGGAAATGGAGGAGACCAATTGACAAAGTGGATTTTTTTTCAAACGTAAACCTTTAGAAAGTATATAACAGTATAACGTTCGGCTTTTAAATACAAAAGTTGGGGTCTTGTAGCAGCCGATTTTTGTAAAATTGACCAACTCCAAAGCCATATAGCAGCTGCAGCTGATCGTATGCGTCGAATGCGGGAACTGTCAGCGGCCATGTCGGTTGTTGATCGCCGCTAGGTTCTATTGGTTGAAAACGAGGTTTCCTGCAATCCCCGCGCATGCGATTTATAAATGTTTATATTTGTTAAGAGTCGTTTCAAAACTTACTGTATTATTAGTTAGCAGCGGAAAAATGCAAGAAAAAAATCCCAAATTTTCAGAATATTTGTATCGAAATGAACAAAAATGGCAAATATGCGTTATGAAATTAGTAACATTAATGTTATTTAAAAAAAAGCCGGGACGATTTCTTAATAATTAAACCCGTTCTTTACCAACCTTTTGAATAAATAAAAATGAAACAAAAAAATCGTGATAACAGTTTTTTATTCATAGATACATACGTTGATACTTGCATAGCAAATCGCAATACATAAAATCTAAAACAGAAAAATCGTACAGAGACAACGATTATAAAAAGAATTGTAACACAATTAATAATTCAACAGTATCATTGATACATTCAGATACGAGGACAGCGCCAAAATTTCCCGGCCTAAATATGAAAGAAACAAAGTAGAGTAACATTTTTTTATTATTTTTCAATATAATCCCCCTTAACTTCAATACACTTGTTACATCTCTTTATTAACAACTCAATCCCTTGAAAAAAATATTCTTTTGGTTTGTCTGCAAAATGAGCTAAAACAGCCTCTTTTCACTCAAGTTCTTCGTTAAACCGCCGTCCACGTAAGTCCTTTTTCAAATATCCAAATATCCAAACAAATAATAATCGCTGGGGGCTATATCTCCCACACTCTAAAATGGCAGCTTGTGCAACACCAGCAGTATGGACAGGTGCATTATCGTGCAAAAGACGCACGCCTCTGGTCAGTTTTCCTCGACGTTTTACACGTATGCAGTCTCGCAAATTATGTAATAATGTTGCGTAATATGTACCATTGACAGTGGTATTCGTTTCTTTAAAATCTATCAAAAGAATTCCTTCACATTCCCAAAAGATCGCGGCCATCACCTTTTTTGTTTACTGACAGACT